ATCCAATAACAAATGCTGAGTCATGCGTCCACAAAAAAAGGAAATGAAAAAGTTTTACGCACTTATTTTTAAAATGGAGTCTGCCTACCTATTCTTACTTATAAGAACTAGTCCTTATAATTATTTACTCCTTATGATGATCGCAGAGAATGTAAAAAGGCCCATTGTGAAGTCAACGAGAGAGACCCAATCTCTGCAACCCGTGCGACGTCACTCCAAGGTCAGAACTGTCACTTGCGACATCAGTCGGAGGCTTCTTCGCGATTGTACCAGTTGAGTGCTTGGCTATCGCAGGCGCATATTTGTGTATAGGTTATGCGTTAAAAAATAATAAATGAATGTATAAATTCGAAATCTTCACTTAGCACTTTGTTTATTAAGTATAGTGAATTGTAACTGAAATACTTTGTTTCAATACGCACATTATGGCGTCAAATGTTTGTGTAGACAAAAACAGTCAAAGAAATAAACAAATGAACGTGTAATTTTGATTGCATGACTTTTTTTGTAAACCATGTTAAGGCGACAATTTTCACATGAATCCGGAAAAACGGCTCTAGTTCAGGCCCAACAGGAATATTTTGATCGGCGGTGAGTAATAAATATTGTTTTTTTATAAAAAAGTACAAAAGTCTGAAGGTTTTTGTATAAAAAAGTGCAGGAGCAATCGGCGCACGAGTACCGAAATCTATTCCACATCAATTTTTATTTAGCGAATTTAATTGCGATTCTCTTCAAATTGTCCTGCTGATTATATAAATGCATGTTACCATGGGGCAACTCGGTGCCATATCGTTTAAAAAATTGTATTGTTATTTTCAACCATGGCAACATGCATTTGTATTATCAGTAGGACACTGAATATTTGATTGACGGCTCCGTGGCGCAGTGGCTTAGTAATGAGTGGCTGCGCTGGGGGTTCGCCGCGGGTTCGAATCCCGCACGGAATAAGTATTTGTATGGCCTACAAATATTTGTTCCGGGTCTGAATGTTTGTCCTTGTGCAATTTATGTTTGTAAACTGCCTCCACGATACAGGAGAAAATCCTATTGTAGGGTTAACTTTATTATAAAAAATATAATCGCATAAAAAAATTGAGATGGAATAGTTTTCGATACTCATGCACCGATTCCTCCTGGACCATTAATAACAACCACTTAAAATAGTTTGTTTTATCACAAAATTGATTCAATCACTGATAAGTAATATGAAACAACTTGCATTACTTCAAGTCTTAAGTATGCTTAAAACCACCAGCACGTCCACGTCAAGTTTAAAATTATTGTACTATTAAGTGGAAATCAACTTATTTGAAGAATAATGTATTATGTAACTAATAAACCTCGCTCTTTAAATATTTTCGTGTATCTTTTACTCACGGCTTTGTCCACGTAAAACGTAAACAAATAAATCTGATTATCTATAATAGCTGCCATTGGACATGATAAAAACCCACTTTAAACTCAACTTTTTGCTGTTACGTCGATAACTGATGAAAACAATTAAATAAAGTTGAAGATAAATTATACGTGGAAAAGGTCATAAGGTGTGTTGGAATTTAAAATAAATGAACAATTGTCGATTTTGCATTAAAATTATAAAAAATAGAAGATAACTTGACAAGATCTTTTTGTATAATATTGTAAATCAAAAGAGTTTTATTCGAAACTTTTCTTTATTTCTTAATGTTTATTGGCACGAAAGCAATGTAATTACAGAAATTAAATAAAGGTAAACGGAAATAAAAAATAAATGTTACAAGTGGTAAAATTAAAAATGTTGTACAACCGACTTCAATATACATACTCGTAAATAAAATGAGAACATTATTAATGTATTCGAAGTCAATTAAATACGTATTATTAAGGATAACTCAAAAACTACTGGCCAGATCTTGATCAAATTTATATACGATCACATGAGAAGCCCCAGCTTTTCAGATGAAACAAAAATCATCAAAATCGCTTCACATAAAAAAAGTTTTAAGGTAACACATAAAAAAATAGTCGAATTGAGAACTTTTTTTTAAGTCGATTAAAAATATATATTAAATACTCTCTAAATCTCTACGTAAGGATATATCCTTAAACATTATTTAGTTTTGCTGCAAAATGGTGTTAAATTAAAAAAAACGATTTTTCATTACAACTTTAAAAAATGTAAAAAATATAAGTTTTGTTCGTAAACTTTTATATTTTTTAAAGTTTAAACAGAGATAATCATCCAAAAATATTTTTGTCGATATTTCGATTTCACAAAATAAAACTTGCATGATGAATTCTTAAATTTACGCGAACACTACGACATACCGAGCGTTTGAACGCTTGGTCTACACGCTCGGAATGTCAACCATAAATGCGTGGAGACCAGCTGATCGTCTGCTAGCCCGATAATGGAATGGAGAGGAATGAATTAAGTCATGCAATTCCTGCTTGGTTAAAATGTAATAAAATATAGGCACCAAACCCATTGCTTCTGAATACACATAATTGCTTCTGAAGTCGGGCCTTTATTTCTTTATTTAAAGACCGGTAAGGAACTTCAATAGAGACTTAATAACTAATCTTAATCTTAAAATTTGAATTTAGTGAAGCCAACACCACCAACCTCAGATTATAATTTATAGGATAAATTACAAAAGTGAGATATGTAAAGAAGGACTTACTACATATACAATATTACAAAATGAAGTTGGAATTATTTAAACTTTAATATAAAGTAAAAAAAAGAAAAAAGGAAATTTTTAACAATTTAAATTGGCAAATAGATCAGCAATATCGAACTATTAAAAACATTAAAATTTAGTTAGAACTATTAAAAACATTAAAGCAACTAAACAAAAAACTGTTAACATTTTAGTTTAGATTTCATACTATATAATTTAATTATGTATTGATTTAATTTTTCTTTATTTTATTTTATTATTATTTAGTTCGTAGTTTCTAAAGGACTTGGCACGATTATTAAAAATGTCAAAGTCCCAAAAGTGATCATTATAATTTCATATACCATGACGCCCTTTTGCCAGCATTGGTTCTACACAAGGGAAGGGAAAATGTTTGACGTGAGCATCTTGATTTTGTTGTTGAGCATGTTGATTATAATACTTTAATATACCATGTCTTTATTATTTTACCCCATTAAGTCCCCTAAGGAATATCACAAGTTCAGCTAGAATGTCCTCTTAACAGGTCCTATAGCAGCTAAATGCTGTTGTGTTTCGTATGGTTAGTGTAGAGAACCAGAGACCTTTTTTACTGAAAGCTAGGCATTCCATCTTAGTCATCAGGGGTGACAACGTATCTGCATTTTGATTCTTAATCAAGGATAAAATAGATGTCTATAGGCCATAGCATCCACTTACCATCACGTGGACAGTGACATATGCTCGTTTGTCATCCTATTCTATAAAAAAGGTTACATTACGAGGGCGGCAATGAAATTTTCGGGAATCAAGGAAATGACACAACATTACTATTTAAAAATGTATTTATTTCTTTTCGAAGTATTCTCCGTTTTGTAGGCGTCCACAGCTTCTTCAGGTGATGAAAATCTCTGTCCACGCAATTTATTCTTTATTTTAGGGAAAGTATAGAAATCATTAGGGCTTAGGTCGGGGCTGTATGGCGGATGGTCTAATAATTCTATGTTTTCTTGCTCTAAAAACTCTTTTGTTCTGTGTGCGGTGTGAGAACTCGCATTGTCGTGATGGAGGATGATGCGGCGGTTGCAGTTCTCTTTACGGAGTTCAGAAACGACCTATGGCAAACAAATGCTAGCATACCATTCTGCATTAACCGTTCTTTGTCCCTCAAGAGGAATAGGCGTAACATGGCCGGTTTTGGAGACAAACGTGGCCACCATTTTTTTTTGCAACACTCCGTGAACGAACAATTTTTGTTGGCTTTAACTCATTTTCGAACACCCAAACTCGTGACTGGTTTTTTGTTTCAGGTTCGTACGCGTATATCCAGGATTAGTCACCTGATACGATGTTGTATACAGCATTTGAGGATCCTGCGTGGAATCTTTCGAGAGTTCTGACGCACCAAGTAACGCGAGCCGCTTTTCGCTCTTCACATAGCGAATGCGGTATCCATCGGGAAAACAACTTTTTTACACCTAATTGATCATGCAAGATTATTTGTATTTGACTCATGCCAATGTCTAAGGTTGCCTGAATTTCGCGGTATGTCACAGGTCGATCTTCCTTAATCAGCTTACGCACAGCATCAACGTTTTCTTGGGTGACTGCAGTTTTTGGACGACCTTGACGGGGATCATCACTGAGCTTGACACGTCCTTGTTGAAATTCAGCAAACCAGCGATAAATTTGGATGGGGCTTCATCACCAAAAGCAGAAATCATCCGGTCAACACACTGTTTTTGTGTTAAACAACCACTTCGAAAGTCATAATAAATCATCGCTCTTGAATGTTCTCGAGTTAATTCTATTTTCTCAACGACTAAACAAGTTTGACAAAACTTTGTGACAAGACCGAGAATCTTTTTTAAAATAAATAAATGGTATTCGATTTTTAAAACCAAGGAGTTTTCAAAAAGATTTTAATATGACAGGAACAGTGTAAATATTCCATTCCCGATACTTTTAGTGCAGCCTAGGTAAAATCTTTAGCAATATTTTTCCCACACAAATTTTGCTTCAAATTTATATACTTAGTACTAAACCTGAAATATAGCCTATTTAATTTAAAAAAACTCATATGTTCAGCCTTTTTCGAAATATCAGTGAACATAAATATTAAAACATATAAATATAATATATAACATAGAACCTTCTCGGTTTTTGCTAACTCGGTTAATATTATAATATATAATTATAATATATATTATAAAATGTAAATATATTAACGGTTTAAAATAAAATCAAACAGCGTTGAGCGTTGCTCAAAATTCATTTGTAAGGTCGTGTCTTAGGTTAATATAAAAGTTCGTTTACATACCTGTATAATAGTCAGTGCTTTGTTAATTGTTATGCATGTACGTGCAGTACGATATAGTATGTACAGGTGGTTCGGATATTTTTAATACAGTACTTATATTCCTAGGATACGTGGTAGAGCCACGCCGCAGCTATATTATGGTTGTAGCACGAATGGGTCGGCTCGACCAGGGAAGGACCACGCTCTCACAGAATACCAGCGTAAAATAGCAGCTTAATGCTGTGTTTTGTATGGTGAGTGTAGAGATCCGGAGACCCCTTTTTACTGGAAACGAGGCATTCCATCTTAGTCCTCAGGAGTGACAACACATCTGCATGATAAATGTAGATGTCTATGGGCCACAGCATCCACTTACCATCAGGTGAACCGTTTGCTAGTTTGTTGTGTTTGTTTATGTATCAATACAATTTACAAAAAATAACTACATGCAAATTACTATTTATCCAATTAGATTAAAAATAACTGTCTTACCATCAATATACCTCAGAAAACTACTTTTACGGATTTTATCGCGTTTATTTTTACTTTTTATTTATAATTCCCGACGTTTCGGGCGCTTTCCAGCACCCATGGTCACGGGGGACTGAGATGACTGACGTCCCGATGTCATTGTTAAACCCGGAGTACCTTCAGCTTTTTTAATTATTGTTTATGGTCCGATCTATGCAAAATGAACTGACTATGTCTTGAGTTCTTGCAGTGGTATGCTTGGGTTTAGTTTTAATTTTATTGATTATAGGATCTTTTAATTTTATTGATCCTATAATCAATAAAATTAAAACTAAACCCAAGCATACCACTGCAAGAATTCAAGACATAGTCAGTTCATTTTGCATAGATCGGACCATAAACAATAATTAAAAAAAGCTGAAGGTACTCCGGGTTTAACAATGACATCGGGACGTCAGTCATCTCAGTCCCCCGTGACCATGGGTGCTGGAAAGCGCCCGAAACGTCGGGAATTATAAATAAAAAGTAAAAATAAACGCGATAAAATCCGTAAAAGTAGTTTTAATCATGTGCAATGTTCGCGTAAATATAAGAAATCATTATACCTCAGAAAATTTTCCTAATAGGATCTCCAAATCATCATGAGATACAAAAATATGAATTTCTCTACTTCTTTATTGTTGACAGTCTGTATGAATTTCTGTTTCTTATGAAAACTACGTATGGATACAAATAATGCTTTTATAGTCAATGAATATTTTATTACTCTCACCGTTCTACCTGGGTACAACACCGGGAGTCCAACATCGGTGCAAAATCACAAATCATCAATTTGTTATAATATTATTATCACTTTGAGGAAATAACTATAATTATTGTCCCTGGGAAAGTATCTCATAATCTACCTTTGATCTTATCGTTTTAGCGTTACATCTGATAACGATCGATTAGGAATATTTAACACCTCAGTTTTTAAGCTATTGCATAGCTTCTATCGCGGGCCTTGAGCGCGGGGACCGAATCCAGAAATTCCGTAACGAAAAAAAACCTCACGCTCACCACTCCGACGGGCACGGAGGTGTGGCGTTGAAAGCCGTGCATCGTCTAACGTCGTTTCAGTTCGGCAGACTTCGGCACTCGGCAGACTTCGGCACGGTGTTTGTGTGCGTGCGACTAGACGTATGCGTGTACACTAGCTGCTAACTCAATGATAAAAATTCCTGAATAACCTACATGTATTGTAAGATATTAAAAATATTTTAAATGAGAAAAAAAATTGTTTTCTTATCGGTCACCACGCTCAAAAAGTGTAACTTGATTTAATATCAAAGACTTAACTGCATAAATAAAATAAATAAATAATTACAATTGCATAAGTTGATAAAAAATGCTATGCAATAGCTTTACCGCGGCAGTCACCGAGTGCCACACGTATTTTTTTTTTGCTGATTATTGGGAAGTTGTCGGCGTAGCCAAAATGCCGGTGGTATATGATTCCATAAAGAAGTCATGCTAGGAAGAAAACTCCCAGTAAAACGAACAGTGGTAGACCGCCAAGCATCCAGATGGTTTGATGGCCTTCCCCATAGATTGCCTCGTAGCGGGGATTTTACCATATTTACCACGTTTTGCAGGCAGGTTGCCAAACGCAGTTTTTTTTGAGTTGTTATCAGGGAGATGCTGCTGCCCCATCCCTTTAAGTTTCTATCTGTCTGCTCTTACGACAGCCACGGGACAATATAGGGTAGTGGATATTCTTACACCGCCACTGCACGGTTAATTACCTTATAAAAGTCATAACATATAATAATAATAATAATATAAAATATTATATTAATTTAGATGATTTGATTAGAACCTAGAACCTTCATTAAATCTCGCATTTTGCTTTTATCTTATTGGATTTTTTATTTGGCAACTAATTATATTGGAAAATATTCAATATAATTAGTTGCCAAACCCAAAATTGGCAATGAAGATTTATAAATCCTAAGAGAAATCAACTATAATTTTTATCATGACATATAAGTAAGTAATCCGCCGTCGTGAAATATAAACTTAAAAAAACAATACCTACTTTTTTGAACTTAACTTTGCCGAAAAGAAAACAGTCACTTTTTACAGAATAAAAAGTCGCAAAATGTTTCCAATCGATTTATTATCACTGCAAACAACCTGTATTTACTGAGTTATCGAATACATTATCAAACCGACTCGAGTTGTTCCATTTGTATTGTCATTTTGTTAATACCATAACGTCGATGATGTTTACAGTGGTCAGTCGTGGCGTTCAGGTATTATTATTTATAACATAGTGTTTTTAAATTTCAACTTTTTTCTTATTTTTCAAACATTATCTGCTTTCATTGTAGAGGACGAATGGACAAAAGCTTTACAGATAATGTGAATTAAATATAATTAAAATATAATTAAAAATAAAATTATACTTTTAAAATATTATAAATAACGAATCTATATTCCCGTTTCCATTTTGCACGACCATTCTCGATTAAGTGAATGTGTATAAAGTGTAAACGTGTTTAGTGTTTTAACAGTGCGTAAATCAGTTATCAAATATTTTATTAGTGGGGAAATACAATAAATAATTTGGTGGTTCAATCATGTTCCCGACCGGTGGGGTGCGGTGGTGAAAAAAAGATTTAAAGACTGATTAAGGTTGGACCCCAACAATGGATAGTAGTAACAGGTCGGGGATACCAGTTACTTGACAATCACAACAAATTTCACCAACTTGAGAAAAGCTGCAATCCCGAGGGTCTGAAGGGAGATCGTTCTCTCATTTTTGCTAAAATCTAATGTTAGAGCTATGCTATGTTTAAGTTTTTACACACGCCAGGCCAACTTCAAAACTCGAAACCCTATTTTTAGTGTACATCACCTTTTTAATTTCAATACTGCACATGGCTCTTTTAGAAAAAAGCTAGCAGTCTTCAGAATCAGGGATTTTGACGTTACCGTACGGTGCAGTCTAGACTTGCTTAGGGAAAACAGTGACAAGCATTAATCATAGGACACTACAATCTGACAATCTTGGTGGTCTGACATCTGTTAAACCATATCATGGGTTTGGCGGTATACTCATATAAATAGGCTTACTCCTAATATATCGTCAGCATTTAGCCTTAATAGTGTTTCAAGAAAAAATGACTTAATTTAAATCGTTTTACAGCTATGACGAATAATATACAATTTTTCTTTGTCATCTTGTACTCTTTTAGTTATTTAAAGATTGTTTTAATGTGTATATAATAATATTGTAATCGTCAACTTCTTCTTGTTCTTATAAAATCAATTGCCGTCCGTTAGAGTCGCAAAAACTCGAAAATAGTTCGACCGATTTTGATGAAGTTTTGTGCGTATTTGAATGGGTGCGCTGGATGGTTTAAAAACTCAATTGGACGAGGTAGGGGGTGCTGTCTCAGGTGAAGTAACTATCGAGATACAGAAATCACCCGTGCGAAACCAAGGTGGAACTCTAGTTACACAATATTTTGTAATATTTGTTACTCTTATAATTTTTGACGATATAAGTATTATGTAATTAATATGACGCATTGTATTATAGTGACGTGTTATTTAATTAGGTACCTACGAACTTTTAATATATTAAACATTCGCTTATGTAAATGAGTGAGCGCAGAACCAGTACCGTCACATTTACTAAACTATGAAATTGGATTTGAATTCAACGTTTATGTATGAATTTCCCACTGTCAGTCGGTTGTTAAACCCTTGTTTGACAATCAGATATTAAAAAAGTTTTCGTCAATTTTCTCATGTACGATCCTTACCATTAAATCCTATCAAACACTCACCCTTGAACATAGCCTCCCCCATAGATTGCATCTCTGATCTGCAGATCTGCAACTCATAGGGGGATATTTGTCATACCTGCCATGCTTAGCAAGCGGGTTTCATCAAAAGCATCTTTCATGGTTATAATTACATTACCAGGAAGATACTGCTGCCAACTTCTGATTCATCTATTCATCGCTCTGATGATATGAGATTTTGAATTCTCTTACTCACCTTTACACGGCACATCACCTCTCCTTTTACACCTCGTACAACCATAACGCAAAACCCACAAAATTACTACACTTATATATATTCATATAATGAGTTTAGATGATAGAAGTACCCTTAACCGACGAGCATGTATGCGTAGATATATGGATGTAAAGGAGGCGAAAGAGGTATGTCAGGATCGTGCCAAATGGAAGTCCGTAGTCTCTGCCTACCCCTCTGGGTGACAGGCGTGAGTGTTTATGTTATTTTATGTTATATGAGTTTTGATGTAGCTGTTTAAGAGAATCTAAGATTCACGGCTTATAATAGTGGCAACTATCGGAAATACCACTAAATTCTTATGACTTATGGTAAAAGACGATGCATCCATCTCATTCAGACCGGTGACGGAAACCAGCGTCAAAGGTGAGGAACATCCAGTACTGTGAATGTACATACCTACTAAGCGATAATATTAAATTTTAAATTTTAAATATCCCCGAAAAAAAAAAGAGCTTATGATTCTACAAACGTCTGAAAAGATTTTCTTGAATCATAGCTAAGAACACTCACGATAAAGTCACCTTTCAAACAAAAAAAAACTAGATCTGAATCAGATCATTCGTTTCGGAGCTATGATGGTACTGACATACACACAGATACACACGTTAAACATATAACAACCCCTCTTTTACGTCGGGTTTTGGCAAATATTACCTATGGCGTTAGAGGCCAATGAGCAAAACAACTGAGACAATAAACAGTGCAGTGGTAAGAAGATTTTTAATTTATCTGACTGATTGATTTGTTGATAATATAAACATTTCAAAAATTTACAATACTAGCAAGAGAAGACTCGTCGCTTCACACTGATAAGCCCTATCCTTATTTTTTGCATTTAGGGTAATGCCCCGTGTTGTCACTTATAGATTTACATAAATTAATTCATATAACTTAACAATCAGTCAATAATTGTATTACTGGTAATAAGTTGATAATCTCCATACGTAAAAAGACCCCCCTAGCGCACTTACTCCCGTTCGCTCGGGACCTTAATGGCGGGAAAATTTGTAAGTTAGAAATTTTTTTGCTATATTGCAAATTTTGCTATATTTTCACTTTGAGACAATATTTATGGATAAAACTTACAGGATTTCTTGTTGAATGTATAAACTATCGAATAAAATTATTTTTGGTTGCTAGAAATTGTAATAAAATACATGAATTACCCTGTATAGCATAGTAGTAGTATATACTTCAATTTTAGTGACAAAATTACTACTAATTTGAATTCTACACTTTTGTTTTTGGAGAAATTTATATGAAAATGTTTGGAAATATGTATATTTTTATGTTTTATGTGTTTCTATTCGTTACTCATACCAAAATATTAAAATATTAAAAAATTAAAAAAAAATAGTAATATTTTATCTGTATGATATTTCGAACAATATTTCAAAAATAGTTTTGTGTGAATTTAAAATAAATACAACGTCAAGTTATTTGAAATATGTAAGAAAACTATTTTTACTTACATTTTACACTAAAAATAAATGAGAATTTGAAAAATAACACATTTATGACCCAACCGCCAAAATGGGCCTTCCGGATCTCGAAGTACTTTTGGCAATTTACTTTTCACTTTTTATACCACAAATTATATATCTACGTGTTCACTATATTACAAGGAATATAAAAAAGTATAATACTTTCGTTTTTAGTCCAGACACAAATATAAAATTCTATAAAAAAAGACGGAGCACCTTCATCAAAGCGGCACGTGGAACGCCGAAAGTTCAGAGTGATTTCTTTTTTTTTTTTCTAAGAAACATTGCTAGGTTATGGTTTAAAATAAAAGAGCATATCTTTGTCTTTGATACTATTATCTATTGCATAGTGTCTTTGGTTTTGTTTAAAACGAAAAAAATGTTTTTTCATAGGTACACAATTTTACATAATTCTGATCTAATTAGTGCTCTTCTGGAGCAAACGTAAGGTAGGTATTGTACGATCTAAAGTGCACATCGCTTGGCGAACAGGTCAGTCACTTAATATTACAAAGAAGACAAGATCGAAGCTTTTAATCTAAGGAAAACGATTCGATTTTTCCACTTAGTTGCTGTGGCCCATAGACATCTTCATCTAACCTCGATAACGATTCAAAATGCAGATGCGTTGTCACCCGTGAGGACTAAGATGGCTTGCCTCGTTTCCAGTAAAAAGGGTCTCCGGTTCTCTACACTCAACAAACGACATACAGCAGCGTTAAGTAAGTTGCTATTTTACCCAGGTATTTTGTGAGAACGTTATCCTTCCTCGGTCAAACCGACCCATTCGTGCTACTATACAAGTAATAGAGTTGCAACGTGGCTCTACCACGATCATATCTACTTACTTTAACTAGTATCTTCGCCTAAGCGGGATATATTATTATTGTAGTGCTATTTAGATTTGAGATATTCAGTATCACACGGTTAATTTATCAATTTTTCATTTTTGTTAAAGAATATCTCCAAGTTTTTAAGGTTCCGTTGGTAAACAACAAGGAACCTATATAGTTTCGCCATGTCGCATAGTAATAGATATTATTCACGCCTACAAAACTGTGAAAGAAAATGTTAAAAAAAATATTTTGGGTACCTCCCATACTGGTATATTTCATCGTGTGGGGTATAATTAGATAGGTCTTTCGTAATATTGGGGGTATGTTACAACATGTTGTCCATTAAGAGCTCCGTTTGCGAAATATTTAGCTTTAAAGTAGTATTTTTCACTGGTCACTGCCAACTAAAGCGCTCGTTTGGAAATGTGAAAAGTATACACGATAGTAGCTCTAGTACATATTATAATGAAATTAAAAGGAAATCTACTACGTCTAAGTAGAATTAACAAGTTAACGAATAATAGTCAACCAACTTATAAAAAGCTCTCGATAAGTAAACATTTCATTATAACTCCATAGAAAATGAACTATAAACTGTAAAAAATAAACATTTTATGAATAAAACGACTTATCTGCGTTTCTACTATAGCTTTACTTTTTCATTTGCGGGAAAAGCTGGGAGGATCTTTCTTACTTACTTTCGCTCATTTCATAGTTGGTTGTTATTGTAGGACTCATTCAAAGTATTCGTACAATCATATAGCCTCATACAGTTTCATTCGTGGTACTTTTGGTTTACGCGTACGACCCTCAGGATAGTTTAGGGCAGTGGTGGTTTTCGCGACGGTGCGTAACGGTCATGTACATCTTAGGGTTGCACTGCCGGGAACTAATAGATGGATAGGAAACTATGACGATTTTTGTATGGACTTGGCCATGTGAATTATTTGATGTAGCTTATTTTCAAAATCGAAAAGTTATTTTAAATTTTTTTGTATATCACTCTATAAGTCCGGTTGGAAAATAAGTCCTTCAGTTACCATAGTCTTATTTGGGCCCATTTCATACCGCGAACTCAATATGCTCATTATCAAGAAAGCCGCTTCTAAGTTCACGTATTGTGACGGGCAACTATGGAACCCCGCCTCTATATTGTGTGTGGCCCGACACGCACTTGGCCAGTTTTATTTTGGTTAAATTTAGCCCAGATCACTCCTCGCATCCTCCTCTATCTTTTCGTAAAATTGCATTACAATCGCTTCAGCCATTTTAAATATTAGTCTGGACAAACAGACAGATAGATCAAAAAGAAATTAAAAATTATTATTCAAGACTTAATAGTATGCATAAGGCAGTTACTTCCATATCACCGACAGACGTTTACCATTTTATCTGTAAATGTATAAATCTTCATGTAGTTTTAACACTACACTAGGCTGTGTTCGTTTAATATTTTTTTTTGTTTCAGGAGGACTAGATCTCTGAACGCGCCGTCTCCTATTCAACAGTTCGGACCATGTGGCAGAATAATGAAAAACTCTGCTATGGTTATGTAAGTATGATTTTATTTTACTATAAAATTAATTGAAAACAACAACGGCGTATCCTTTCCGATAGCGCGATAACCGATAACTACGGACTGCAACAAAACCCAATAGCCAAGTAAGTATAAAATTTACTACCTAGATAACAGTACAAAATATATATTATCCGATTTTAAGCTTTATTGCGTAGTAAAATAAGGTAGCTAACTGCTGTAACAAATGGTTATTGAGCTCTGACTATAATAAATGCCGTGTTTCGGAGATTTTTATACTTAAAGGTAAAGTGGTGGCGTAAGAGAATCCGCTACATCATGCCGCCCCATAAGAGGCTACAGAATAAAATAAAACAAAAAAATAATAAAAACTGTGAATGCCAAACAACCTGTCAAACGTGACTACTACGGTATATCGCTCTATAAGGTTGCACTCACACATCCGGAAGGCCTCTCTGAATTCACAATCTAGATTCATATTATTAGTTAAGAAAACCCGGAATTGTATACAATTTAACTATACTTCACACACATTCAAATTTTTTCGGATTATGAATTTCTCAGGCGCTGTCCTATTGCCATCCCTCGCAGGACGATGCGATGCCATTTCATCGTCCAGTGAATCCGCACGCGCGCGATATCTTCAGTCGCATCGCGTAATCGCACGCCGTTCAATAGGACATTCCGCAGATATGAGTATGTTTAAACGCACGGTCGCACGATCCTTTTCGTCGGACGCATCGCATCATCGCGTGAGCGATGACAATAGGACAGCGCCTCAGATCGATCTGTAGGAATGACACTGACGAGTGTTCTGAACTCCGGATTGGAATATTTACCATTATGATTTCAACTTCATAACGCGCGTTTTTCTAGCAGCACACACACCGGAATCAAATTATGAATTATTGTTGTTTGTAAAAGTTGACACTGCGAGCGGTGACTGCCAGACGTATGAAACGTAAAACTGACTTTCACTTACTCTGTTCACATTAAGAGGATGAATCCAGTGTACTCGTTTGCGTCTCTTTTTTATTATTTAAGCTAAAATTAGTGTGATAACTATTAATTCTTCTTCCATAACAGACACGTGTGTGCCTGAGCCGAGAAACACGAGAATACGGATTTATCTAAATTTTTAAGGTATGTGTGAGGCAGCTTGCCGGAATTCAAATTATGAATTCCAACTCTTAATTCAGAGGCATTACGGATGTGTGAGTCCAGCCTAAGGCAATCTATGGGAAATGCCTATGTTCAGCTTTGTGGACTTTTGGTAAGCTGTGACCAACGAAAACAAAAAAGCTTAGCAGTAATTATGAACATCACTGAACAAAACATCTCTTAAAAGAAGTTCTCCTAAAGCAATTTATTATTCTGGTAAACGAACATATATAGTTGTTAAAGTTGTAAATAGTCTGCCATTAAATGAATGTGGCGCTGTCTATTGTAGGAAACAGTTAAAAAAATACTTCTTGCTCTAAATCTTTATTAAAATAATATGTATTTAAAGTAAGTTAAAAGTAAAGTTACAGCCTATATACGTCTCACTGCTGGGCCACAGATTAGGTAATCTGTGCTGCTGGGCACAGGCCTCCTCTCATTTCTGAGAAGGTTTAGGGCAAGGATATGTCCGCCACGCTGCCCCAATGTGGAGCTCACGTATGTCTTCTAATTTTTAATTTCTAATTCCCAGCCTGCAGGTTTCCGCTGATTTCCTTACCACGAGCACGTGGTAAATCAGCACTTAAAATTGCAATTAAAAATTACATTGGTGCCGGCGGGGATGGCACTCGGGTTACTCGCGTTCTGTTATATTTACAGCGAGCGTTAACCATCTGAGCTACCACGGCTTATGTATTCACGGCACGTAATAGATAATATTTTGCTAAAAAGCTTATCAGTAATTATGAACACCACTGAACAAAGATTTATTCAATTTCAAGCGTCTGAGACTGCTGCACAATAGTGGCCGCAGCAGCATTTTGCTGTGTAATATTACTTAGATGCTTAGAGATGAATTAACTCTTTTCTCTTCTCTTAAAGCTGCATTAAACTACATATGTTAACAATTATTCTTTTACTGAATATATGTAGTTTTTTATAAAAATATAGTTGCAGCAGTAATGGGCCGTCTAGAGTCTAGACCGGGGGAAGGACCACGCTCTCACAGAATACTGACGTCAAATAGCAGCTCAATGATATTGTAATTCGTATGGTGAGTGTAGAGAACCAGAGACCCTTTTTACTGGAAACGAGGCATTTCATCTTAGTCCTCGGGGTGGCAACGCATAGATCTGCATTTTGATTCTTAAACGAGGATAGATGTAGATGTTTATGAGCATCAGCATCTACTTACCATCAGGTGGACTGTGTGCTCGTTTGCCACCTTTCTTCTATAAAAAAAATTATTAGTGTAAACACGCTGGCTGCATTTACTCGCTGAAAGGTTATGCTAAGTCTATGAGCGAGGTTTTCATTGTTTGTATAAAGCTTAAAACTGTATAATTGACATATAAATTAGACCTTTTACTTCTAACTCTTTAAATACTCGATCCACATGACCATCGTGTTTCGCAGGCTTCTTATTCTTCCTCTTTACCAATACCAATCAGTAAAAATCCAATGTCATGACACATGGACCTCTGCCGTTGCAGAAGGATCAGTTATCTTTCGCCTTGATCGCCACGCTTGGCAGATAAATGGGCGACCGCAATTTCGTTTGTATGGTATTGCGTTAAAAATATGAATTGTAAAATTTTATACAAAAATTGCCATTTATTGATGAGTGATGATATTTCTAATCTCCATTTAAGTTCTCACGGATGCGAAAGCATCTATCTGCATTTGGGTTCTAAATCGAGGATACATGAAGGTGTCTATAGGTCACAGCATCCACTTTCTATCAGGTGGATCGTGTGCTTGTCTGTCACCCCTACTTCTTACTGGTATGAGTAACGTATGTAATTTTTTTATAGAATAAGGGTGACAAACGAGCACGCAGTCCACCTGATGGTAAGTGGATCTACATTTAACTTCGATTAAGTATCAAAACGCAGATGCGTTGTCACCCCTGAGGAATAAGATAAAATGCCTCGCTTCCAGTAAAAAGGGTCTCGGGATCGCTACACTCGTCATACGAAACAGAGCAGCATTGAGCTGCTAATTACGCTGGTATTATGTGAGAGCGTGACCCTTCCCTGGTCGAGCCGACCCATTCGTGCTACAACTATAATATAGCTGCAGCGTGGCGCTATCACCGTAGATAACTCTTAGACTAATGTTAACTTTTTTTTAAAACATTCTATTCTAGGCAAATCCAGGATCCGGCTTCGCAGAGGCTGACATGGTACAAGCCACCACTAACGGTGCTGGTTATCAAAAAGGTGCACGATGCCAGCATCCTCTCCTCGTTCGTACAGCTGGTGCACTGGCTCGTACACGTGAGTTAACGTCCTAATAACGTAATAATCCAATCATTAAGACAATAAATTATTAAATAGCTCTAACACTAAAGAAGTAAATTAAAGTAACAGCCACGACCTACGGCTAGGCACGGGCTTGGCTTCTCTTACTTCTGAAAGGGTTTTAGAATAGGAAATAGTCTCCTAGAATCGTGGCGCTAGACTTCACATGTTCTCAAAATATTTCAGATTCTCATGCGGGTTTTCTCGCAATGTTTGCCTTCAGCGTCGAGTACGTGGTATGTCATCAGCATTTAAAACTATAATAAACAATTTTATATGTAGGAATCGCCTTCTGGCTGCTTAGGTACTATGAAATTTTAAAACAGGAGCTTATCCCCTGAGCACAGAACACTATTACTCCTAGCGGAGACCCCTGAGCTCTAAGCTACATCCGCTCTGATACTATTTAAACAATAAGTAAAATGTTTATTTAGCCGATGGCTTCCAAGATAAACATCACTCACAAAGTTTGTCTTGTTTGTTTAAATGAATCATGATTAAGGTTCAACAAGAGCGCAATTGCAAAAACTGAAAGTCGTCATTCTTATGGGAAATTATGATCAATCAAAAAATGGATTTTAGCGTAGAATAATGCCACTGTGTTACGTAGGATGAGTGTAGAGAACCAGAGACCATTGTTACTGGCAACGAGGAAATCCATCTTAGTCTTCAAAGCAGACAAGGTGTCTTATTTTTGATTCTTTAATCGTGATAGATGAAGGTAAAGAAATTTTATCTCGCGTAGCTAAGCAACGAGTTAAGTAAACACCTAACCTTTTTTTTTCATGGGGGCTCCGCCCTGCACTTGGGACGACTGGTTCTGGGCATCGATGCGTCGCATATTTGCGTCATCGTAGCCTGAAACCAGTTCGCTTCCCCTTTCGGATTGAGCTGAATTTCTTCGGCTTTTTCCGGCTAGGCCGCGACGATGGCGGCGGCTCCGAGTTTCGCTCTGTCGAGCCGCTTGAAGTACCAACGCCGCGGTGGGCTGCTTTCTCGACGACTGGAGTTACCGTCGAAGTGGCGAAGTGCAACATCGAACACGATGTGGCGGTGGTCTGACAATGTAACCACCTCCGTCGCAACTTGCCAGCCCGACAACATTCGCATTGCAGGAGGAGTTACCCATGTGAGGTCCACAATGGACTCCCCCTCATCGTACACATGTACTCTCAGACCCCCGATTTAATAGTCGGAGGTCCAGACCAGCCACCCACTTTATTACAATCTCTCCTTTTGGTTCGTCCCTGGAGCTGCCACAGGCACTATTATGCGTTTTAAAGTCTCCTAGGACGATCAACGGACGAGGTAAGCACCCGCGCAATCCGCCACCTCATCCAGGTACTCGTCGTAGTCGGCGAGGGTCCTGTTGGGAGAGACATAGCAGCCCACTATGGCCATGGTGTCCCACTGCACTGCAACAAAGCCCCGTCCCCTTTTTATCAGGACGCAGGATGGAGCACCATCACCACCCCATGGTTACCGAACCAGCGAGGATGGTTGGGCACGGTATGGGGCTCCGCTACTACTGCAAGGGCAACACGTCACTCCACAATGGTGTGCATAAGCAGATGTTGCGCATTGCGGCAGTGGTTCAGGTTACCTTGGAGGAATTTGAGGGGCGTGTATTTTAAGTCTCAGGACCTTCCATTACCGAGTCGGAGCTCAGTGTCGCAACAGGTGGTGCTGCAACCGTCCCGCTGGAGGGGCTGGGAGAGGGCTTATTCTTCCTAACTCCCCTTTGCAGGTTGAGCGCATTTTTCCCTAACTTATGGTTGGAGAAAACGGAACATTTCAGTGCCGATGTAGTACACTGGTCCGCTCTATCACCTGATTTGCCGCAGGCGTAGCAGCGGGTGCTCCTGTCTGCCTCGTTAGGGCATTTACTGCTCACATGCCCCTTCTCGAGGCATCTGTAGCAGTACACAGGCCTGGGTTCAAGCAGTTCCACTCGAGTGGAACCCCAGCCTATGCGTATGCGTCCTTCAGCCATTATTTTTCGGACCGCTGCTACTGGGAACCGCACTTAGCATGTCCCCATGCTGGTGGGAGTTCGGCGAACGTCTCCAATTTTGATATCGTCCACCGAACAACCACCCAACTCTGCGATCGCGGCTGCTATCTCATTACAGCTGACAGCGTCGTCAAAGTCCCTAGTCGGACGTTGCACATTATAATTGGCCGACTAAATCGTACCTTCAAATGTCGCCTCGCGCAATTTCGCTGCCAGTTTATCCGCCTTTGAGTTACAGTCAAGGCAATCGTAATCTCGAGTAGTAAACCCAGTGTTACAGGTCGCTTTTGGTGAATGGAGTCGATTCCCAACTCTGCCAATCGGATCTTGGCCTTTGCTTCCCCCATTACAATGGCATATGTAAGTGCCAAGTCCTCAGCCAGCGTCACCGTTACTGCCGCTGATGCTGGGGTACGCATTGCATTTTTTCAACTCTTTTTACTCCCTTTTGGAGGGGGGAGAGATTCCGCCATTGTTTTAGGCCGCTTTTGCAGTGGCCTTCTTGTCACGTCCGCCCATGAGCTTACCATCGGCGGCGGTGAGGTGCGCGGCTGCGGCGGGGCAGCTACTGGAGGCAGATCGACCACCGGCGGATGAGTAGGCTCCTTTTTTCCCTTACTCTTCGTTTTTTATTCTTTCGCGGTTAAGTAGACACCTAACCTAACCTAGCCCTGTTGCTTAACTAAGGACACGTTCTATTTTTAATTTTTTACATCACAACAATCAACATTTCTCCATTTACTTTCCGATCTTACCAAAGAATATATTATTACTATTCTCTTACAAAAGGTTCTGACAGTACTCGATTATATTTTTTGACTTAAGAGCTTACGCGCACTACAACAGTATAAATGTGCACTTATACGGCAAGTAAGACCAACTCGTCATCGTGAAACTGCTCACCTCACTGCTCTCACTGCTTGAACTATTCGAAAAAGACATTTAAAAAACAACAGCAGTGGTGGTTTGCAACGCTAAAATACTGAGTGCGACTCTTTTTCGTCACGTTCGGTAACGTCTTATACTTTATTATTAAATAACATAATAACGTTTTAAAATCAGAAAATATTATGTACAATATGGCGTTGTGGAGAAATAACATAAACATCCACCATTTGTAGTAAAAAATATTTGACAAACAGATTTAGGGTTGCCATATAATGGCTATTAAGAATAATTCTAAAATAAGGGAAATATGTAAGAGGCTAGGCAAATAGTTCATCGGAAATCTTTATTAATAGTGTTTAAAATAAAAAGCAAACGCGTGAAAATCGTTTTTGTCAAGTTTTTTTAAATCATTTTTTACTTATAATTCTTGCCATACAGACAATTAAACTTATACTGAAATTCATAATGCAGTCAATGAGGTAATATCAATCGTCACGTTGGCTATACAGGACAGATCAATTTCATAATATGTTTAGGGGAAATATAACCTCAAATGGCTTAGCAAGATCCTCCGTTATGTCGAAAGTGTTGCAGCATTAATTTTGAAATAAATATATGGGAAAGTTGAGGATTAATGTTAAGGACTATGTTAGACGAAAACACGATTCCGTAAAATATTCTCGATAGAAAAAAGTTACCTCCAAACTGAACAATAAACCGCTGTTATTCATAAAATACTTTAAATAAGATCATGAAGCTTTGCATACTAACTGAACTAACTATAAAGCAGTGCTTATGTTATTTAATTTTTTTAAATACCATTATTTTCACTGTAAAAAGAAATTACCTAAAGTATCGGCGTCTTGAAGCTTGATTCCTGTCTCCTCGTTAGTATCGCTTAGGCTTTTGAAGGGAGAAGTTGTGTCGCTTACGATCAGAATATACATTACGCAACAGGACGACGTAAAATTAAAATGGGAAATAACCGTAATAAAAATAAGAAGCGACTAGTTTGGCGTTAAGAAACAGGCATAAATATGATAAAACTAGTATCTAACGACCTATCTACTTACAGTATTAGTGATTACAAACATGTCGGTACATAGCATATGACGCGCGGGGAAGTGGGGGCGAAATTAGAATTTGAGCTGACTTACTACTCGTATATCCCCTTAATGTGAAATTATAAAAATTGTAAAATATCAGTGCCATAGGCTTCTATTCCGTTCACCTGTTAGGCTTAGCACGCACTGCGATTGAACGCACGCGTTTAAACGCACGTCTGAAACCGCAAAAAAAAATGTAACGCATAGCTTTCTATACAAGCGCACGCATTAGCGGCTTTTCTCAGTGACTGATTTTCAAAACGTAACTGGCTACATTTCGATCGCGGTTTGTAAACGCGCCATTTTTATGTGCCTATAGTAATAGTTTGGCGGCGCACGCATTGCGGTTAACCACATTCGGTTTCGGCTAGACGAGCGCAGTAAAAAAAAAAAGTGTAAAAGCAGCTGAATTACTTTTCATAAAATATAACTTACCGCTACTTAATTTTGAATGTTAATTAAAAGTTTTATTTGTAATTTTTTAATAAGTATTTCTGTTTCCGTTTCTGCAAAAAAATATTTTTAACATCTGTTTCCGTTTCTGCTTTCGATATAACACTTTCGTTGCATCACTAGTAATTATCAGATCCCAACGCGTGATTACTACGTCCATCTGTTTTTATTGGAAATACACATACATAATATTTTATTAACTAGGTACTATTAATGTTGATAGAGGAAATACGTTTTAGTCGGGTTGCCAATATATCTGAAACTATTTTTTGGGCTATTAAAATATATCTGAAACTATTTTTTTATTAAAATTTAATTTAAATTCCACACTTTTTAGAAAAATTGTTCATAATATCAAAGAAATTTAGTAACTGAAACGTTTTGGTTACCACTTTCGATTCGGCTGCAATCCAAGCAACTAGGTATAATGTAAATAGGATAAGTATTTCTCTCTTCGATTAATATTGTTCATCGAAGATTTCTCTGTTTAAATTATGCGTTCAAGTATAAATTATAATACCCAATTAAAGATAATCTTTATCTTTGAACGATGGAGCCGGGTGGCTGATTAAAAAACTGATCACCAAAAAGGCTAGTATTGAAGGTATATAAGATAGCCTCGAGTAGTGTAGCAAAACACGGTTGTATACCTATTGAGTATGCGTCATCATGAAGTACCTATAGCAATACAACTGAGAAGTGGAGTAATTTTAATATACTTAATGTAAAATAATGCAAATTACCAGTCCGTACTGGTTTACATAATGATGTCTTATATTTACGCGAACACTACACATTTAAATAAAAAAAGTTTAATATACGCGATAAAACCCGTAAAAACTGGTATTATTTAAATGCAAATTACTTTATAAGTTCAAACTAAGGTCAATCAAAGTTAGTATAGTACGTAGCTAACTTTGATAGTATAGTACGTAGTACCTACTATTATTTATTCTGTGGTATAGTTTGGACTAAACGACGCAGTAACAATGACCAAGAAAATGACATATCCTGTATCATCATTCATCACCCGTTCTAATAAATAATGTTAATTTATTTAGACGCAAAGCGTAAAAATAAGAAATAAGTAGTTTTGTTCTCTTGACTAAGTTGCACTCGGAGTAATGAGCATGAAGCCATTTATTCAAGTAAGTAGGTATATTTATTTTAGACACAATCAATACCGTAACTTTTGGTTACTTGGAAGGACGGGGGCGATAATAAAGTTTTTTGTATTAGGCGTAGGTATACCACCAACATACCAATGACTACGCTTTCTTGAAATACCTACTTGTTAATAGTACTGCAACCTACCTACAGAGTAACCTATTACAGTAGTAGGTTACTCTGTTATTTTCTGTCATGAGTATCGCGTTTACTACTTTTTTCAGTTGTTCCCGTTGAAGCACGTTCCGCATTCAGATTGACTTATGTGAATGTGATGAGGGGTTCGTCATGAAACGCCAGTCGACGTCTATCAATATTTTATTGTTGGCAAACACCACGGCAAAAGTCGTATTAACTCATGTATCAAATATTTTAGCTTTTTCTATACACACTGCACACACACGCTTCAAATTACCGCCACTTTGTTACAAATGGACGGCAAACGCATTTATTTTTTATTCTTCATTCTTATAAGAGTGACGAGTCCTTACAGCCTAGTCATTTTTTCCATTTTGATAAAAACAGTTCAACTTTAAGCATTAAAACATTCATTCTTATTTTACAGGACAAAAGCATGGTGGTATTCGTTGAGGCAGCAGTGTTGGATGATACGTTGCTGGCAGAGTACGGTGACTTCGCGTCGATACGAGAGCGTCTCATGACTTTCCGAGCTGGCACCGATGACCTAACAGACAAGATTGATTTCATCATATGCCTCGGAGGGGACGGTACTTTGCTTCATGCCAGCTCGCTGTTTCAGGTAAGGCAACTGGAGTGCTTAAAAGTATTCTAATATTTTATATTGTTACGAGCTTAGGGTTCGTGACAATAAAAACTGCCGATTAAATTACCAAAATTAACACTTTTTTTACCGAACACCAATTAAAACTTAAAAGACACTAATAATTATTCACACTTAACACTTTAGTTCACTTTATTTCGCGCCGAAATTTCGCTCGTATCGCCAATTCAATACTGCCCCGATCGCGGCTTGCAAGGGCTTTAAATACGCCTTTTCCACCGAAACATCGAGAATGTTCCAGCAAATACCGGTCCCGACCGACTAAGTGCAGAAAGTTCGAGAGTGGACTTTTCTAGAAAGCTTAATTCTTCCATTCGTTACTAGATGGCGCTGTTGTTAGAGTTCCAGAAAGATCTTGACACTCCTATTACTGATACTTGATACCAGATGCTATTGCCATCAACTGTGGCGCGCAATCGTGTGTATTCAAAGTAGTCCCAGTATAAGAATCGACATAGGTAAACGAAGCAGGAGATGGGCTGCTGTATTTTCCTGATAACAATTCAAAATAATAAAAAAAGTAATCTGTGTCCCAAGGGTGACAAACCGCCCGCCAACCTATGTTCAGCAGTGGACTTCTGATAGAATGATGACGATGATGATGATAATGATGACGAATGTCCAAATGTTTTTAATTTGCCATTTGAATGTTCTTATGATAAGAATCTGCTCAAAATATCTCCATCAAAATTTTCCTGTGCTCGAAATTGTACCAATAACTTATATTATGAACTTTTCATCTTGCCGAAAACAAATTATGATATCGATTACGAATTTTCATTCGATTTGTGATTGCATTATGTATACACGTGTACCTATGTATATCTTATCAAGTTTTCCATAAATATTATTATGCAGTTTTTTAAAACATATTTTCAAAACTTGTGTGATAAAAGTTAGCAAATAGTGTCTGTAATCTAATTTGGTCTCTAGTCCCTTCTCTAAGAACACAACAAACTTGAAAACACACTCTGTGTGTGTGTGTGTATGTTGGACACACACACACATTTACATAATCCGACTGACTAAAACACACCCACCCATATTTTTTTATAATTGCATGGCTTAATGGTCAGAGTACCTGGCAACCTTGTAATAAAAAAGTAAACTTACAGTCGATATTCGTCCCATGGCTGATCACAAGCCTTCTTTCATTTTAATCGTTATTCCATAAGGGCTTCAGTACAAGGAAAGGTCCACCGCGCTACCCCAACGCGTGTTGACGGTTTTCGTGTCTTCGAAATCTTTTTTATTTCTCGGACATGCAGTTTTCTTCGCCATGTTTTTTTTTCACCGCCGACAACGTAGTATATTTGCACTAAATTTTACAGTAGAAAATTTGGTTGGTGCCGGCCGGGATCGAACCCGGGTTGCTCGTGTTCTGTGAAATTTACAACGAGCGCTTAATCCCTTGACTTAACCACGGCTTGATGTTAATGTTGCAACCTTGTGCAAAACATAAATTATTGGGTATTAAATCTAGATATATATTAAGTTACTACTTTGAGGGCTTCGAATTAAGATGATAAAAATTGAAATTTCGAAACAAACAGTTTTTTGATCAAATTGTCTAACATTGAGTTTGCAATACATTTTTAAAATAACTACGGAACTACACCGCTCGTCAAAATTACATCTCCGATGCAGCATCCAGATTTATCTCTGATTCTACAATCGCGTCTGTTAAGAACCATTATAAAGGCTGTGTGTGCATCCATTTAATATCCTAACATAGTAGAAAAGAATGTCATCGCCGTGGTTGAAATAAGAAAAGGCAGTTTCTCTCCAGAAATATAAATTTATACTGAATTAAAAACTGATTTTTCAATCATTACATACAATTTATTTTTAGGATTAAATACAACATGAACGAATTAAAAATTACAACTGTACACAATTACCATACAATTTTCTTCGATTGATAACTATTATCTCACGATTGAAAAATCAGCCCTAAAAGAAATATAATAAAGTTAAAGTTACTGCCTATATACGTCCCACTCTTTGATTATATAGACAGGTATATAATCGAAGGTCCCACTGCAGGGCACAGGCCTCATTTTTGTGAGGGTTTTAGGACAAGGAAAACGGAAGAAACTTGCATGTCAGAGAAATAAGAAAAAAAATTTCGAAGACCTTTGAAGTTATCCAACGCACCTTGGGGAAGCGCAGCGCGGCGGACATTTCCTTGCCCTACAAGAAATACAACGAGCAACAAAATAAAAACGAATAGCTTATTGCGCGAAACGTACCTACTTCTTTGTTTACTCTGCATTCAAATATCAGAATGATGATAAGGAAATCAAATTGTGTTTACAATTATTTATATATCATAATCAATGTTGCCTTATAGTATTACCATTGTTTACCCGGTAGGAGATATAAAGGGCGGCAATTGTTTGTTTGAACAATTACTACTTTCAACCGACTTCAAAAAAGGAGTAGGTTCTCAAATAGACTGTACATTTTATGCGTGTTACATCTGAACTTTTTCTAGATGAACCTATTTTGATGATTCTTTATTTGAAAGCTGATGCTTCTTATGTGGTCGCTTATAAATTTGATCAAGATCTGACCAATAGTTTTTCAGTTATCCTTAATAATGCGTATTCGAATAAATTAATGATGTTCTTATTTTATTTATATTAAAGTCGGTTGTACAAAACTTTTAATTTTGCCACATGTGTGAGTTATCCATTAGAAAAGTAATGCAGTAAATATTAAAAACTTCGCAGTTCAATACATGCAGTAGAACTTTTTGCAGAGTCAAAACTTGCCTTAATGTAGAAAGCATAATACGTGGACATTCAGTAACTTTATCACATTAATCAATGAAACCTATAAGGTATAGATAGGTAATAAAAATATTTTTCGCATTACATCCCAAAATGAAAACCTATACAAATCTTTATTTCGTACGATTTATCGTCAAACCTCAACATATTTTTGTTCTATTTTCCAGCAATCCGTCCCACCCGTGATGGCATTCCACTTGGGTTCTCTTGGCTTCCTTACGCCTTTCGAGTTCAATAACTTCCAGGAACAAGTTATGAATGTATTGGAGGGTAAATATAGATTTTTAATTATAAAATAATTATTTATTCAAGGCGTACCTATAATAGATTTATATTCATATTTACATAATTTATATTTATCTATTTGACAAGGGAGAAAGTATTTTTTCCTCATTAAAAACACGTTACTCCCAACATTAGGAACTTTCACCGATATCTCGTTAAATACAGCATCCAGACCCGGAACAATTATTTGTAGGCCATGGAAAATGCTTGTTTCGTGGAGGACTGGAACCCCCACCCGCACTAATCGTTTAGTGCTAAGGGGTTAGCTGTGATACTGCGCGCAGGACCGGGTCGTCAGATTAATTATTCATAATTTTTTAATGCCTACATTAAATCGCAATTTTACTTTAGTACCCACTAAATTACATATGAATCTCGTTTAATTCTAGGTCACGCGGCACTAACTTTGAGGTCACGTCTCCAATGTGTAGTGCTCCGGAAGACAACAAGCGATGGCAAGGAAAGGAAGAAACCCACAACTATATTAGTGCTGAACGAAGTAGTTGTGGACCGTGGACCCTCGCCGTACCTCTCCAATATAGATTTGTTCCTGGATGGAAAGCATATTACATCGGTTCAGGGAGATGGTAAGAATTTCACGGAGCTTTGTAATTTTGATATCAAGTCTTTAATCATGATGATACCAGTGGCGAAGCTAGGGCTCCAAACTAGGGCAAGCCCAAGATATGGTTTTGTTGTTTTTAGCAGTTTTATAAAAATACACCAATCTTGATCTGTCTCCACTCTTCAGTTTCATATTCAGTGCTGTCAAGGACGTGTTTAACAAAGCACACAAAAGGCATACTACCGCTAGATAGATTGTATGACATATGCAATTGCATACCTTCGGTGGCTTTCAAAAGAGTCGTTGGGTTTACTTGAGCGAAAGAAAAAGATATTTACATACAATACAATACATGAACAAAAAAATGAACAAAACAAACTATGTACAAAATTAAAAAAAGGGACGCCTGGCAGATGTGAGACATCGAAATTATTTTGTTTAAGTTATATGCATAGAAGAACAGATTACGACAGGAATTAGACATGGTATAATGAGAAGATAAAGCTTTGCAAATTTTTTCACCATAAAATAATGATATAATAATTAAATAATAAAATAATTATTCATTTTCAATTTTAATAAACCGTACAAAATGATATTTTTAACTCTTAAGGTAATATAAATATTAAATTAGCCGATAGCGTGTTTATGCCAAATCTTTACGTACCGTCGTGAGAATCAATCAATTTTCGTTCGATAAAATGACTTCACCTATAGAATTAAGTAGATGGCGCTATTAAAATTTTATATACTGAACTGAAGGACTGAAGGAAATATTCTTTAAAAACCTCAATACATGTATTCATTTAATTTATTACATTAAAATTTAGGTTTCACGTTAAAAAAAAGATTGTAACAATTATTTGCTATAAAATTAAACTTATATCTCATATTTTATGTTGCAGTTCAAAATGATATTTTAACTCATATGGTAATATAAGTATTGAGTTATTAATAACCTTTAAATACGCCTAGAATAATTAAACATTAATACTAAAGAGTCCTGTGCCTATTAAACTATAATCCTCCCATTTTTGCTAAAAATCTTTGAAAAGCATAATTTTTTAACAGACACAACAAAAACAAACATAAACATTGAAATGTGAAGGGAACTTGTAAACCAATCGCCCGCACCCCCACTCGCTAACGCACTCCTAAACAACTTCAGGGCAAAGCCCAGCTTTTGGTTCCATGGTAATTGTTATATAAACATTTCGTAGTTATATTTCATTATAGAACATTTTGCCACAGGTTAGAAAGGGAGCGATCGTTTTCTCGAAAGCTCGGTAAAAAGCCAACGCGTGCGAGAGAGACGACAAAATCAACTCCTTGCTTTCATTAATTTTGGCAGTCCAGTGTATTTCGAATTGAAATCAAACTGCCAAGTGTTGATGTAACATATTATATGCTACGAGGTCATGCCCTGCCTAGAAAAGAGGAGCGCACAGGAAATTTGAAATAGTTTGAAACAGTTTACGAGTTATTTTATTAGTTGATATTATTGATTGAGCAGTTTGATAGAGCAAGCCCGGCTTCTGGGCTTCTATGGAGGCTTCGCCGCTGGATGATACCTAGCCTTACACTTTCGTTATGTTCGTCTATGACTGCCCCGTTGGTTTAGTGGTCGTAAATGCTTGTACTGGTTATGTGTTCCAGGTTTGAATCCTAGGTCAGGCCAAAAAATCAGTTATTGAGTTTTTCTGTCAAAGAAATTCTCAGCGATTGCTTGCAGTCAGAAAGTTTTTTTATAGGATAAAGGTGAAAAGGGCGTACACAGTCTACCTAATAAGTGGTTGCTGTGGCCCATAGACATCTACATTTATCCTCGTTTGCGAATCAAAATGAATATGCGTTGTCAGCCGTGATGACTAAGATGGAATGCCTCTTTTCCAGTGAAAAGGATCTCCGGTTCTCTATACTCACCATACGAAATACTGCAGCATCAAGCAACTATTTTACGCTGGTATTTTGTGAGAGCGTGGTCCTTCCCCGGTCGAGCCGACCCATTCGTACTACAACTATAATACTAATTTAACTGCAGCATGGCTCTACCACGTATGCTGTCACTTTATCTTAAGTGATCTTTGCATTCCATGGACACCAGCTGCTTACTCTATTATAAATTCTTTAGGTCAACCTTGAGGATTTAAATGGAATGCATCGTTACCAGAAAAAAGATCTCGAGTTCGCGTCACTCATCATACGTAATACACTAGCGCTAGCATAATGTTACGTGGGCCTTCACTGTTTCAGCTGACCACGTATTAAAAAAATTGTATTGTTATATTTTCAATAACCCTCACAGAATGAGGTTTGTGGCCAGCGTGGGACGTGTATAAGCTGTAACTTTTTTTTTAAACATCCAGTTATTACATATTAGAGGACAGAAAAGGATGAATGCTATTATTTTTAATGTTTAATCCTAGAACACATGAAGATTTTTATACACTATTTATAAATACTTTTTTCAATGGTGTATGTACCTATACTCGACACTCAAGCCAAATTTAAGAAATTTGCATTGAACTGATATAAATTATAGCCTGTCGTGTGCGTTTAGCTCGTCCTACTTATCAGTTCAACGCACTCCGTTAGTAATTATTACGGTCTATGGTCTGGCGGGAAAAATTAAAAGTATTTGATCGATAGTTAAAAGTTTGATGACCAGGTCTGGATCAGATATGAAAAATTAAATGTTTTCTGTGTGCTGATGGTGGTCAGGTCTGATCGTGTCGACGCCGACGGGCAGCACGGCGTACGCGGTGGCGGCGGGCGCAAGCATGATCCACCCGTCCGTGCCCGCCATTATGGTTACGCCCATCTGCCCGCACTCGCTCTCCTTCAGGCCCATCGTCGTGCCCGCTGGCGTCGAGCTCAAGGTACGCTTTTTGAAGTAAACTTTAGAGATTCTTTGTGATTTTAAACTCGATGAAAAAAGACACTAAAAAGAGACAAACATATGCATCAATGGATTTAACGTGCGAGAGAATGAGATAGAATACAGTATACAGTGTTTAATATAAATTTATTTATATTTTATTTAATTACATAAACCCTACAATAATCCTACTCCTGATACACCGCATTCGTCTCAATCTCCCGAAGTATAGTTTTTTCTGAAGGTTTCACTATTACCGCGTGTGAAGTGTACACATGATTTTTTTTAATAGAATAAGGGTGACAAACGAGCACAGTCTACCTGATGGTAGAAATGGAAGTGGTTGCTGTGACCCATGGACATAGACATGTACATTTATCCTCAGTTACGAATCAATATACAGATGCGTTATCACTCGTGAGGACTAAGATGGAATGCCTAGTTTGTAGTAAAAAGTGCCTCCGGATCTCTACAATCATACGAAACACAGCAGCTACTATTTTACGGTCGTATTCTATAAGAACGTGGTCCTTCGCCGGTTGAGCCGAGCCATTTGTGCTACAACTATATTACTAATATAACTGTAGCATGGCTCTCCACGTAAGCCACGTTTCCACTCACCACGTTCATTTGCATAGCGTGCACAGATAATTTGTTGTGTAATTTTTTTTACATCACCTTTATGTATCAAACCCCACTTCACCATAAAACAGGCGCATCAATCCACCGGTGGTAACTTCCCGCTAAAACTCTGATTACCTCCACGACACGTATTATATTCTCCCACTCCCACTCCCACCTTCACACACGTCAAAGTAAACTGTATAAATTTTGAAATGAAATTAAATAAAATCTATTTACAGAAACATGGTAAATAAAAAGTTATTCAAGATTCATAAATTTTGATACCTTCTTCGGTACTCCGACGTGCGAATCAAAAACCAAAAATGATATACACGAAGGATTTTCTTCATTAGCCTGTAAAAGATGATGGCATGTTCTTCTGTAGATAGTATTTGCCTTTATCGTGACGCTTGGTACCAGACGTTACGTATAACGTTGCTTCCCATCTCCTCTTTAATTTACACACGACGCCTCCAACGATGAGCACGGCACAACATTAATTAGTGGATTCTTTAAGCTGCCACTACACACCACCTCTATCCCCTTAGTACTTACAACGGACGGTCTTCTCCCTATGAGATGATGCTTGGTCCAGCAGTGTTTAGTTTGTAGACTGTTCCTTTAATTTTATACATTATTGTACAATATTATAAATATTATTATAGATAGCATTGTCGCCGGAGGCGCGTAACGCCATGTGGGTGTCTTTCGACGGACGCAACCGACAGGCTTTGCAGCACGGAGATAGGTATACGACACAACATACCCCTGGCTGGCAGACCTGGTACTCTGCTCTAACAATACCCTGCTAATGCGCATGTAACCTCGTTTTGTAGTTCATGTACTTGCTCGTTCACAATTTCTTAATTTTGTGTAGCAAAACATTATCTACCTAACCGACATTTTGTCATTTAAATTTGTTGGTTTTAAGAAACGATTGTGCGAATTTAGTATTATTCATAACAGTTCAAATGAATTTTGACGTTTTGATAAAATATCTATCTATTTATAAAAATTAATTGCTGACCGTTGGTACAAAAACGGATCAATTTTGATTAAATTTTTGTACGTGTTTGAATGGGCCCCTAGATGGTTTAGACTTGGACCCAGTAGGTGGCGCTGTTGTTGAGATCCAGAAATTACCAGTGCGAAACCGGGCCCCGGCCGCTTGTTACATATAAAAATGAGTTTTTAAATTTAGAATGATTCAGTGTCAAAGAAAATGTGAATGGGCTAACAAGTTTATATAGGTTAGATAACAATTTAAATGATTTCAGTTCAAAAAGATGAAGTCCGCGGGATTGTTTCAGATAACACCTAGCATAGAGGCTCGTAACGCCGCCAGCATATCTTTCGACGGTCGCTCGCAGTTGACCCTAAGACCAGGCGATAGGTAACTTTCTTTGTTGGGATAAGATTGTTCGTTCGGGCTCTACCCATGTTCAGACAAAACATTTTAGCCGACATTTTCATATTTCTATTTCAATGTATTTCGCGGATGCATGGTGGCGGTGCGAGCTCATGAATCCTGCGGGCGAAATTTTTATGAATATTATAGTTTGTTTTCTTAGTAACTTTTTCAAACTAGTTACTAAGAAAACTGACATCGGTTTATTATGTACATAGATCACCTCATTTTGTACTACTACTACTAATAACTAATATTTTCTACTAATTAACTAACAATTTTAATGCTCTGATAGAGCTTATTGCTGTTAACACTCATTGCTTTTTTATATAAATGTATTTGTTTTATTTAAATTATTACCCGACTGCTCCAGATATTTTAATATTAATCGTCTATCCTTTGTAGAGCTACTCTAGCCTAAAGAACATTTTGAATTGCGAGAGTTATCAAATTCGTCTTTATCAGAAATGTCATAGCCAATACCTACAACGCTCGCTCGTAAAAAATGATTGCTGAAAACTCATTTTGAGGAACGTAAACTTTATCAGTTAATAATTTTACATCACAGCAATCGGTTTTTTGTTTTTAGTACCTATAAGATTTTGTTCATAAAGATAAGACTTTTCAGAAACGATTTTGAGAAAATTTAAAAATAAAATCAGCTTATTTAATTATAGTCTGTTACATTTAAATACATTACTGATTTTATTAAATACCACATAAATATTACATATAAATATTTATTAATCAAAATCACTTCATATGGTAAGAGATGAAGAAAGTCGATGGAGGCAGGTGGCTCAGGGCCATGCTTCGTTGCATTCCTTGCGAGAACACTACGTACAGCAGTGGACTTTCGATGAGCTGTAATAACGATGATGATGATGATCGTTCCATATTTTAATATATTGGATTAAAATATTATCCAATTTTAAATTTATATGATTTTATTTTAAATGCTTTTCCTCTTAGTACTTAATGTATTTAACGTAAAATCAAAGAATCACAGACTAACTAAAATATTCTAAAAGAGAAATTGTTGACGGTTCACATATTATAATTAAATCATCGTTTCTGTAACGGGAATCATGCATGAATCAGTTCAGAAACAAACGGCGCTTAATAATGATCAATAAACGCGTAATAAATTATTAGTTTTAAAATAAAATTGCATTACATACGTATTCATTCATTCATTACACTCATCAATGTAAGTTAGCTAAACGCTGACCTCCACCGTAGATTGCCTTGCTGGAGGAGGGGTGGGGGGAGTGGTGGTATTTGCCATAGTTGCCACGCTGTACATACATAGTATAGTATTACATATACAACAAACAATCAGCATCATTATTACAGCCTTTTAAGTCTACTACTGAACATAGGGCTACCCCATAAATAGGTCATAAAAAGTTTTTTTTATAGGATAGTGTGACAAACGAGCACACAGTCCACCTGATGGTAAGTGGTTGCTGTGGCCCATAGACATCTACATCTATCCTCGACCATGAATCAAAATGCAGATGCGTTGTCACACGTGAAGACTAAGATGGAATGACTTGTTTCCAGTAAAAAGTGTCTCCGCTTCTTTACACTCACCATACGAAACACAGAATTTTATTATTTTCTATCTGCCATAGCATCTTTCTGATATCAGCGATTATCAGGAAGATGCTGCTGCTCATCTTATATTTTAGTTTCCCTGTGTCGCCTCTTACGACACCCATAGGATGATATAGGGTAGTGGATTATACACTCAAAAATAAAACACTTTTTTATAGGATAGGGTGACAAACGAGCACACAGTCCACCTGATGATTAATAATAATAAGTAGTTGCTGTGGCCCATAGATATCTACATGTATCCTCGATTACGAATCAAAATGCAGATGCATTGTCACCAGTGAGGATTAAGATGGAATACCTCGTTTCCAGTAAAAAGGGTCGCCGGTTCTCTACACTCACCATATGAAACACAGCAGTATTAAACTACTATTTTACGCTGGTACTCTGTGAGAGCGTGGTCCTTCCCCGGTCGAGCCGACACATACGTGCTACAACTATAACACACACTCTCTCTCTCTCTCCCTCTCTCTCTCTCTACCACGTAAGAAAACATAAATAAAAATAAAATGTGGCTTAAACTAACAACTACAATTGACACACTCAGTATGATATTACACTAAAAGTTTATACCCCACGACTATTCCACTCGATAGTGAAATAAGAGGTGTTTTGTTTAAAAAAACATAGTTTTAGGGTTTAGGTACAAAAAGCTAGAGAAACAATTATTCAGGTATATACTACTTATTTAAAATAAGTATAAATATTGAATATACTAATAATATTACTATTCCACAGCTTGTACGTCACAACGTCGGTATATCCAGTTCCATCAATATGCGCACAAGACCAAATCTCGGACTGGTTTGACTCGCTAGCAGAGTGTTTGCACTGGAACGTCAGGAAGAAACAGAAACAAATAGACGAGCTAAGCGATATGACTCACTCATCCAGCGACACCCTGGAGGAGTTGGACGGGAATCACCAAGACGATAGACCTGCTGACACGTGACCTGAGAGACCTAATATTTATTTTATTTACATGGACGTCAGTTTAGAGTGGGATTAAGGGATGTAGTCTTTAAATCCCATTCTAGAAATTTCAAGCCAATGTTCAGATAAAATATTGCATTAGCTTTGAAATGGTATTTTTACTTTTTAACGGTTGGAATAGTACTGGGTTACTTTAAAAGACACTTTTTAAGTCGATGAATAAATTAAATTGACACTTGTTATTTATAATGCTTACGATAAGTCGTAAATATAGTTTAATATGGACAATTATGAATGGGAATATCTTGTATTAATCAATCATCATCAATCAATTATACAAAGTGTTTGCTTTATCATTTTTTGACAGCTAGAGATCGCTTTAACGGCCACCAATCAGTCAGGGTGACATATTCCTCCTAATATTCCAAAATCGCAACCAATTTATGATTCATCCTCCTATTGGTATGAAACTATAACCTATTATAATTACACTGGTCGGCAAAAAGAATAAAAATCCGGGAGCAAAAAGTTTACTATGTGATTTCTATTGGCTTTGATTTGTTTAGTTTAAATCTGTTTAAAGATTTCAAATATCACCTCTAGCTTTTCAGATATTTACATTTAAATAAAATATCGGTATTGATATATATATTAAATATGTATAAATTTTAGAACGAAAAAATTTACACTGATTGATGACTTTTACAACACAAATTAAAATGAAATATAAATTAAAAAATATAAAAAAAAACATAAAAATGATAACTATTTGGTAGATCGCTTTCTTTTATACATTTTAACTGCTGTTTCTCGATTTATTTCCCAGCAAAAATCAGCTAGCATTGCTGGGGTCCACTTGCCGCTGTATCTTTTTTCCATATGTGCAATGTCTTGGTGGAATCTTTCACCATGCTCATCAGACACGGCACCAAGATTTTCTGAGAAAAAATCTAAATGCGAATGCAAGAAGTGAATTTTTAAAGACATATTGCATCCAAGTTGATGATACGACGAAAGCAGTTCTTCTATCAGCTCACGTACGTCGCTCACTTGTTCAAAACAATCACTGCGTTCGCCATATGAGAAACTTTTTTTCTTTCTAACAACAGACTCAAAACACAACTAATACATGTACATACCAACGTTCACAAATACCGCTGCCTGCAACTATAAGCAAACAATTCTAGTGTAAACAAAAAATGCTACTGCGTCGAAACTAGACGCGCTAGGTGAATTCTAACTACATATTTGGATTTAACGTAACTAACGTAATAACTTCCATATATACATTTTTTTTGCTCTTATTTTGATTCCGACCAGTGTTATTAATCCTTCCTCCCCCACCCCAACACCGAGTTTATATACAGGACAGGATTATAGAGAACAATTTTGTGCGCAAGCACAGGTCTCTCTGTTCCCTCACTCTCATAATCCGATGCGACGGCAATCCGACACGGCCGTAGAGCCACCGCTACATTCTCGGCTTCGAGCTGCTACTTAGAATTTCTTGACAAACTTTACTTTATATCAAACTATTATAATTACATATGCTTGTATAAGGAAACATCAGATTTTTAAAAGAAATGGTCCCATTATATAATTAGTTACTTAAATGCTTGTGCTCAGTTCACGCACTGTAATCCTGTCCGAGACAGATGGCAGGTAAATGGATGGTTAGGTGCTACTCTCCGTTCAGATCAGTCACCATGATTGTAATTCCATCTGTAGGAGTATATTATGTTATTCTTCGTTACCATTCATAATTGTCCAATTCTCGTATTAAAGTGCTTATTTTCTAGACTGGTTTTATAAGTCTTTAAATAGAATGTGATTTATAGTTAAGAATTTTTCTTTTATTGAGATAATCTGGCACACACGCCTACTGTGTTCTACGTTGTCGCTTCATATACTTCTATCAAGTTCAACTATTTGCCACCATATTTCATTGTAATTAATTTTACTACAAATGCTTAAATGTGTTTAAATTTCAAATACTATAAATAAGTAGGTATCTTTGCTTTATACTGGTATTATGCAATATAATTTATGTATTTGGTTTGGTACTCTACCGGATTTGCACATTCGTGAAAGTGTACATTTGTTCAAAATTTTTAATCTCCGAAAATTCTTTACCGATTGTTTTAAAATTTTGACAAGACGTTATAAATTATAATTGAATACGCATAATATGTTTTTGTCATACTTTTAGAAAAAAATTTGAGGCACACCTACGCGTGGTACCAGACCACGCGTAGGTGTGCCTCAAAATTTACGTAATATCATGAACGTATAAAAAGATTTTTTTATATACGGTCATGCCTAATACAATACAAAAAAGTTTGGAAAATCGAAAAGTGCACGCCTCATAATCTCATTTGATTATATAAAAAGAAAAATATCTCTTTTTCCGTATTTGAGACGAAAGAAGAGATCTATGAGAATATTTTTTGTAGAAAAGTACCAGTTGTTTTTTACATTTTCATTAATTACAATTAAACGAGACCAAATTACACAGTGATTTTTAAAAGGAACCTGTGCGTTGAGATTCTAAACCTAATAAAAAAAATTATTTCGATACATTTATTCTATCCGGACTAGACATGGGACGAGTATTTGGTTTGGATTCGGTACTCGGCGGATTCGGCCTTTTTTAGGGTTCGGCCGAGTACCGAGTACTTGGGCGTAGTATTAACGGCGTATGTTTAATTATATTCCAGAGAAAAATAAAAACAAAAAGCCAGTTTTTATCATTATTATTTTATTAGACACATTAAAACATCAGGAACATGAGATACAGCAGAAGTATTGAGAACATACATAAGAATCTATACTAGACATTATTATGACTAATATTTAAAATTTAAGAGAGGAAGATTGTGATGCAAAAACACCAGTTCTTCGGCCCTATTTGGGTCTAGTTTGCTTCTTTTTACATATTTAGTTTAGTTTAGTTATATTTAGTTTATAGTAACTAAGCCTGCCTCTGAAAAAAGCCGTTCACTAAAAACTGAACTGGCGGGTGTTGATAAGTATTGGGCCACAACTTTTCCCAAGATAGGGTGCCTTTATTAGAAACCCACCATTTATATGGATTTACATCTCTTGCGGTCCTTTACGCTTGATAATGATCTAACTCTGCTGCAGCTAAATTCTTAGGATCATTAGGTTGTTAATTGGTTGATGCGTCAGCGGCTTCTTTTTTCTTCTTCAGAAGCATGTTTTGAATGAATTTTTTTATGTGTTTCCTAAAATGAATAATTTTTCTAGATGTTTTCCGATAAGACGATTTTTATAAGCAGTCATTTTCGCGCCAGATAACGAAAATAATCTCTCGAACATGAAGTATTTGACAAGTAATCAGTAATAACTCATCAGCAGTGTCCGTGGGTGTGTGACTGATCAAGTACCGATACAAGTACTTTTCTTTCGATACTACTTGGTACTCAGTTTTAAAGTATCGGTACCAAAGTACTTGGTATCGAAAGAAAAGTATTAAGTAAGTACTTGTATTGACTCGTATCGTTTCATCCCTAACTCTGTGTAAGGGAAATAACTGCGCGCCGCCCACTACCGCGTTTTTTTTTAAAGCCGAGTATTCGGCCGAGTACTCGGTGAATCACTACTCTTTCCATGTCTAATCCGGACGCCCTCGAATTTTTTTTCCAATCAGTTTGTTTTTACACTAAATACAGAAAATTACTTTTAAAAATAATAGAAACATGAAAACGATTTTTCTCGATATATGTGTATTTTTATTATTCTAAAATTGCAATATTAAAAAAATAAAGACATTTTTAGCTCAGAAAATTACTGGATTTCCATTAGGTGAGAGTAGAGCACAACCTCAACGCTTCGCTTATGAGATGTGCAATAATCTGGAATATTAAAAAGATTTCCAAGGAAACCATAAAAATTAGGCATGGGTAATACCACTCTTACACTTTGTAAATTGATTTCAATATCTGATAAAGAATCTAAATATCATCTATGTAACGGATGATATCTATGTGATTCTGTAACTCTTAATAAGAAATCAGTATTCAGTACTTTACGGTAATACGCGATTTTTGTAGGGTTTGGTTTGCTTAGATTTATAGATATATTTTAAAATCTATATTTTAAGTACAATATTACGCATTAGTCAATATCTATGGTACTCTGACACATAAAAGTATAAACTCTGTATTTATGCTCTGAAACGAAACGTTCAGAGCATAAATTTTCCTACAAACCATGGAGTAAAGAGGTACGGAGAACAGCCTCCCATATGAGAATAGTTGAAAATGTGTCTATCTGTAAGCAGTAAATAACAGTTCACAAACTCTCCCCAACAGCGCTCGAGTTGCTAGAGACTATGAAATGAACTTAGCAGTTGTCGACGGAGTGAAATGTGCTGACTTGAGAAATTTAATATTTGTGGTGACTAGAGTAGTTGGTGAAACTGCAGTATTTAAAACCTCTCTCTCTATAGGAGAATAGTTGAAGATGTATCCATCTGTAAGCAGTAAATAACAGTTCAAAACTCCATAACAGCACTCGAGTAGCTACAGGGTATGAAAAATCGCCGTAAAACACGTTGAGAGTGATTTTGAAAATAAAAAATTTTTAAAACAATAAAATAATTATTATAAAAAAAGTTATCGTGAAAGTATATGCAATAAAAAATTATAAAAAGTTCTTTAAAGTTTACACTCTAGCTACAGTGGTGCCACCCTTATTTGTCGCTTTTCTACGGACACTTTTTTATACAGAGTTTGTTCTCCTTATATCTACACTCCATACTACAAACTTAATAATTATAGTTCATAAAAGATAGCTTGATCTCTGCGACAGCTGTCAGTAAAAATCACGCCTATGAAGTCCTGAATTTCTTAGTAGTACAGACTGTACCTGTCAATATCATACTTTATGGGCATGCACTAATTAGGTCGGCAGGCCCATAAAGTATGACATTGACAGGTACTGTCTGCATATTATATCATTATTAGGTAGGTATTATATGCATATTATAGCATTCTT